GCCGGCAGCAGGTGCAAGCACCTGGCGGGACCAGGGCACATGGGAGCAAAGAATTTTCAGTAACCACCAGAGGCTCACCCTGATGACAGTGACTGGCACTCCGCCTTGATCTGTCGTCCCCACTTACCTGCTCCACCATCCTGTCATGGCGATGCCCACCTTGTTTCATGCATACTCCTGGTGGTAAGCACACATGATAGTGACCAGATGTTCAGTTGTTCGGTTGTTCTGCCATTCGGTCTATTTGCATATTAGGGTTTTATATATATATAGATAGATACTTTTAAAAAAAACATTCAATCAAATGTGTCAAAAATATTTACAACTTTTAATACTGGGTGGTAAGTTCATAGATACTTGATATATGTTATTTGTATTTTTCTGTATTTTAAATTTCATAAGAAAAAAAAACCACACAACACAATGGAGTGGCTATACTTTCAATAAATTAAGACTGCATGTTATCCAGTTAACTGCTCAAGCTATATTGGAAATTGGAAGTGTGAAACACCGCCATCTGTTAAAGAAATCTTGATATTCAAGGCTAGCACAGAAACATCAAAGACTGACGTTTAAAACCAGATGAGAGCAGATATACTAGTACTTGAGGACATTTGATGACTGTAATAATTCAGGCAATAGATCCTGGAAACAAAGACCAGATTCCAATATAGAGTCAAAAAAGAGCATCTAGATTTTCAGATGGAAATTATCAATGATATTGATTAAGGCATCATATATGACTTTTCATTAATTTTTCTTCTGGGTGGCAATAAAAGGCCTTTTTAGCAGAAAAAAATAGTTAAAAGTGTAAGCTGTCCTGAGGATCCAGTCTGAACTATGAGGTTAAAGTGTTAAATTTGGAGCGGGCAGGGGATACAGCAACATTTGAAGAATTGCAGCTTAAGCCCCATCCCCCTCAACGAGAATGAATTGCTACTCTGACTGGTCTTTTCATCTTTTGTGCAGACAAATTCATTAAAAGGCACTTGCATGACGTGAGGCTATTTCCTTGCTGAACTTTTGTGCCGGAGACCTGCTGAGGACTGACTATAGTGAACATTTCTGAAAGTAAGTGCATGCTGTGTAAGTACTTCTCTAGGTAACTAATGCCGCAATTAACAAGTAATTGTGCAATAGTGCGGTCATTTTTTCCCATTGAAAAAAATTATTGCTGTACTTGTGTTCCAGTTCCAGCCATTGGTTTGTCCAGCAGGTAAATGTACAAATTATAAGTCCCACTATTGATCTCTATGAGCTTGTAGATAGTATAATTTTTAGGTAAAATGAAGTGTGGAACTTCATTTATGAATTCAGTTCAACCAACTTAATTTTTACTAAATCCCAGATATTTTGTAAGGCACTAAAAATACAAAACTGGAAATTATATTTCAGACTTTTTAGCTGGTTGTCAACAGCAAGGAAGACAGCTATGCAAACACACATTTGTAGTTCTATAAGATGCTAAAAGATAATATGGCATTGCACTATTTTAAGCCCACAAGGGCAGAGGGTTAGAGCACATTTTCCTTTTTCACATCTATCTTCTCAAAACTTAGCCTAGTGTTTAAAGCATTGAATATATTGAATAAATGTTTAGTTTATTAATGAGCAAAGGTGCTACAGATTAGAATGTACTTACTAATAGAAGCCCTTTTTCTTTATTATATGTTATCAAGGACAGTTGGTTAATCACCGAGTTTAGTTAAAGTGGATACTTAAGAGAGTACATCTAAACATAAACTTTTCCGCCCCAATAAAACATTGATTTTTGTTTTTGTTTGTTTGTTTAGTTGGTTTTCTCTCTTATTGTTAATCCTTTGAGAAAAACCCACTCTTTTTTTGTGTGTCTAAGCACACAGATTAGAAATCTGAGGCTTTCTTATTAAAAAAAAAAAAAAAAATATATATATATATATATATATATATATATATATATATATATATATTATTGATTTTTTTACAAAGAGGAAGAGAGAGGGATAGAGAGTTAGAAACATTGATGAGAGAGAAACATCAATCAGCTGCCTCCTGCACACCCCCCTATTATAACGGATGTGCCCGCAACCAAGGTACATGCCCTTGACCGGAATCAAAACTTTAGTCTTCAGGCCAATGCTCTATCCACTGAGCCAAACTAGTCAGGGCTGAGGCTTCTTTCTTATGTAAAGCACATTAATAATGAATCTTTCATGATTTCGGTTTCAATATATTTATTGAGCAGTGAATGCAAAAGGACTCTTTTGAAGCATCTGAGTTCTCTATTCCTCTACATTTTTCATTGTTTTCCCAAAATTTTATGCTTATTTTATCGATTTAGTTTTTACTTTTTTTTTCTTTTTGCATTTTTGAAGATTTTGCTTCATCCAGTCTTCTCAAAAGAGCATTCAAATTAGTTTTAAGAGAAACACATTCTTTGCCCATGCACATTTTGTTGTTTTGGTAAGCTTTAATTAAATTGTGTTATCATAATAATACACCCTTTGATCCAAGTATTTTGAAGTGACAGGTGAGATGATGGGAGAAGCCTTTGGGAGCACTGAAGAACACCCAGAGAGGGCTGCCCTTGGTGGGTGGAAGGCATGTTACAGAGTGAGGGGCATGCTGGTTAATAGGGAGAGTTGGGGAGTGGACGTTGGTAAAGGAGACCATCTGATGGCAGGTGAATGATAACAAAGCCAAGTTTAAAGATGATTAAGATATGCTAGATAGACTTGAAAGAAACTTCCAGATGAAAGGACAACTCTTGTAAATACACAAAGCTCGTAAGTGAACTATTTAGGGGGATCAGGATCATTGTGATGAATCCTTCTCATGATTTGCTTTTACCTATGGAAATATAACTAGGATTATCAACTCAGACTCTATTAAGGGGATAAAGGTAAGATAATTAATATAGTTGCTATCTCCATCAGTTTACTACTGAAAGGTTTTTACAGAGTTAATGTTTGACTTTTTATGGGGATTAAAGGAAGGATGGGGTAAGGAGGAAGAGAGGAAGGGGAAATATACACAAATTAATTCAGGTCAAAATCATTGTACAAGATAAATCCTGACTTACTTGGTACTCTACCCCTGGAAATTTTTCTAGAGGTCTTTTGTCTCATTAAAATTGAAAGAGCAACTTCAGAAATTATTTTGTTTATTCAGATATATATATATTCACCCCACCCACCTACACACATGCACACATACAGTATATGTTCAATTTCTTTTAAAAATGTAATTTTATTTTAAAATATGACCATTAGATCTAGCATAAGATTGTACCTAAATTTCCATGAAGAGCTTTCCCCAGAAAAACAGCATTTCATATGAGGTCTCATAAGATTTACAGACTTACTATTGTCAAATTATTAAACAGCTATGAAAGAGTGAAGATTGTCCTTAATTGAAAGTTTTGCTTTAATTAAAATATTATAATTTTGTATTTCAAAAAAGGGAAGTGCATGAACTGAATAAAAAGATATTGTACAGATGGCTAGTTGTTTTAGGGTTTCCAGCAAATTCTTCTCTTATGATGCTTAAATTCTTCAATCAGAAATCTTTCTCATGTTTAAGACACCTTGTTTTTATAGTGAATTTTAGAAGGCCTCTTTTAAGCCATGGAAACAAACAAATAGGAAACTAGATCATGGAAACAAATCTTAATGAACCAGTCATTTTTGCTTTTATAGCTGCTTACTACAACTAAAGAAGATGTGTTTTAATGCTTTCCTCAATTTACTTTTTGATAAGTGCTTTAAGTTAATTTGCATCAAAATAAAACATGCACATGCTTTTTAAAAGGTAAATATTCAGATGAGGAGAAACAGAGATTTTTCTGCCCTGTCCTTTTTTACACACTTTCTTTAAAAGTCTGTAGCCATTTTTTCAGGAATTTACCTTATCATGTTCTTTTTAAATGACAGTATCAGAATGTTATTTTTTCTTATTAAATGTTTAGATATCTATGGATTCTTACTTTGATAGATGAGAATTTACTTCTCTACCACATCTCTCTCCCATTTTCCCAAAATACCTATATCACAATTCTTCATTAGGTCAGTATTCATGGTTTCTATAATTATGACTTATTAAAGGTCCAGTTCATAAATTTGTGCACAGGTAGGGTTCGGCCGACCCAGCCCTGATTTGGGCTGATAGAGCTGGGTCTGTTGGGAGGAGGAGGAGAGAGTGGGAGGTTGGCCAGCAGGCCCACACAGATCAGGGCTTAATCAGGGCCAGGCCAGCTGGTGCTGGTGCGGAGGGGCTGAGGTGATTGACTGGTAGGCCTTTCCCCCAATGGGAGTGGGGGAGCTGATTAGGGGCGGGGCAAGCCATGGGGAGGGGCTGTGGGCAGTAGCCATCAGCCTTGTCCATGATTGGAGTGGGGGGGCTGATTGGGGACAGAGCTGGCTGGGCAGAGGGGCAGCATGCTGATTGAGGTGGTGGAGGTGGATGCTGATTGAGGATGATGGGGTGGAGCCAGCCATGGGAAGTGGCTGTGAGCAGTGGGTCAGCTAGCCCCACCCCCGATTTGTGGGGTGGTGATCCAGGGTGGAACCAGCTAGGGGGAGGGGCTGCAGGTGGTTGGCCGGCCAGCCCTGCCCCTAATCAGAGGGGGGGGGGGCTGATGGGAGTAGGGTCAGAAAGAGGGGTGGAGGGAGGGTTGGCTGGCTGCCCCTCCCTTGATTGGGGTGGGAGAGGCCAATTGGGAGCAGGACCAGTGGGGGAAGGGCCATGGGAGGTTGGCTAGCTTACCCCATCTCTGATCCAGCTGGTTCACTGCACAAAATGATGTGCAAGTGGATGTCATAGCAACTGATAGTCTGGTTATTCCAGTGTTCCAGTTGCTGGCTTTTTATATATATAGATATTTATTATTCAAAAGGGAGCCACACTGAACAATTATTATAATTTTGTGCATGCACATATTTTTGTTTTCCTGTGGTTAGTAAACCCTTATTTTATTTTATTTCTTATTTGCTGAGTTGACTCTGTCTGTACTATTCATTTTTCTTAAAACTCACCACAAGAATAAAACTCTGCTGGCTAAACATCATTGCTTTTCCTTTGGATTTATCCATCTTGGAGTTTTTGTTTTCTTGCTGTAGTATGGAAGAGTTTTGCTTGGATCCACTTAAGTTCTCATCTAGGACTTTTCATTACATTCTGGTGAATTCCTTTGCCTCTCTTCTATTAAAGTCTATTCCTGGGATCCCATGCCTTTTCTCTCAGTGCACTCCCTTATTTTGGGGGAGCATATTCCTTCTTCCTTTGGCATTTTCTAAGAATGGTACACAAGAAATAAAAATTATGAGACTGAAGATAGGAAAATAATTTTGCTCTCCTCTACACTTTTTCTCTAAGTTGGCTGAGTATGGAATTCTATAGTAGAAATCAGTTCCTCAGGGTTTGAATGCATGGCTTCTTTGTGTTCTAGCTTTCGCTGTTGTGAAGAAGTCCAATACCGTAATGATTGCTAGCATTTTGTATATGACTTATTTTTTCTCTGTTAGCTTTTAGATTTTTACAAAGCACACCTAGTGTTCTGAAACTTCTAGTAGGATGGCTTATTCAGGTTTAATTTCCTTCATGTTTTGGGTTCTTAATGACCTATTTCAATCTACAGACCACTGTCCTTCAGCTCTAGAATTTATTTTTAATACCCTCCCCTGTATTTTCTTTTTCCCCTCCATCATTCTTGATGGGCATATGTTGGATTACCACCTAGGAATGCATTCAGACTATCCACAAGTAAGAATATAAAAATTGGGATATTAATAAGAAGTGCGGATATAGGCTCAGAATTGACCATGGCCATACATTTTTAAGAATCTCAGACTTTCCTTTATCTGTGTCAACCTATTAAGAAAAGATGACTGCTAGTATCATATCTGCTTTCCATTCTTGAAAAAGGAGAAGGGAACTGGGTGCAAGCCAATTTGTTTCCTTTAATCTGAAAAGTCAAATATTGTATAGATGGCCCCATCGAGCCAACCTCCATAATAGTGCCATAGGGTTTCCACTAGCCCAATCACTGGCCCAAGCCACAAGGCTACCACTGCTGATGAAGGCCACTTAGGACTCCTCTTGTGGTGGTTGGACTGAAGTTGTGTGTTTGGGTGGAGCTTATCAATGCTGAACTCCACTGTAGTGTGAGGACCCAGCTGTTTTTGTTTGGAGATGCCCAGCAATCAATCTCTTTTTCTCTAATACTGAAGGATGTAGGCTCACTCCAGGAATCTCAAGAGAAGGAAGAATGTGACAGGATGAAAACGAAGAGCTGAGCAAGAGCAAGATCATGTAGGATCTTGTGCTAGAAGACTGTGGAAATACAAAAATGTGCAGTGTGCAATTTCTATCCTCAAGGAGATTACAGTCTAACTGGAAGAATATGCATTGAAGAAATATGCATTGAATAAAATGCAGTGCTAAAACACCAGAGTCCATATTCTAAGTTGTTATTTATTTTCCATGTAATAGTCTTAAAAGAAAAGGAAATGTTCTCAGACCTCATTGTCACCAAAACAATAGCCACTATTGTCAAAGGCCAACTGGAGGTGATTAAGGGTTCTTCTATGATCCATGTTCTGGGACAAAATGATGTGCAAGTGTTCAGGCTAATTCCTAGTTTGTAGTTGATCTGAAACCTGAAAGACTCAATTCCAAGTGTTGAAGGGATCTTCTCTCCTCCTCCCCCCCAGCTCTACCTTTTATCCCATAAGAAAATTGGCTCAAACTCCTGAATCCTTCCAGGGGCTGTCGATTTCAGATACATTTCAAATAATAGCGATGCCATATCAGTCCCAGAGAGGTGCCTCCAGACTCCTTTTCACCTGAGAGAAAAGTAAACTATCATTTTCAGGTCAGTTATTTATGTTTTTCATTATATACTACTTAATCTCATCCTATGGGATACAATATATAAATAAAATAATTTCTTAGCTGATGAATATGGAGCATATTAAAATTTGAATAGATACTAATTAGTAGAAGCAAATTAATTAACATTTTCTGAAAATATAAAAGACAAGATAAGTTTACGTCACTACTATATCACTTGATTAGTAATACAATTCTAGATTTAAATAAATATTGAAAGCTTTACCTTCATGATATAATAAAATTTATTAAGGTATATTTACTATTAAAGGATTCAAAAGTAGAAATTTTTTTTGAAGAAACGAGTGTTTCATATTCTAGAATTTAAGTTTTACAAGGGCAATCATTTTTATCCATTTTATTTAATAATGTCTCCCAAAGACCTCCCATGTAGTGAGAACTCAGTGAATATTTAATCAAATGAATGGCCATCTGTAACAGTGCTGAATCATTGTCAGGGTCAAGCAGAAGTTTTGCTTTAGTACTACTTTAATATAGATTTGGTTATTCAACATCTAAGTTTATAAATATATTAGTATATACATATTTATATATATAATGAATACATAAGCTCCTATAATATAGCCCTACTTTTAGTTAACATTTAATATATGTTTTAAAGATGAAGATATTTTAAAGTGAAATTTATCATGAAGGGCATTCTTGGTGCAAAACAATAACAAACAAAAGCTAAAGAATAAAAATATCTGATTGGCTTTGTAGTTTAGAACCTTATAATTTATATTCTGTATAAATTTATTTATATATAGGCATAAGATAAATTGCATCTTAGCATATAAATATATAGTTATATCTAACTGTAAAATGGGGAGATGCACCGAAGGATTTAAAAGAATAGAGACATGACCGGATCTACACTTCAGATAGATGAGTCCAATGGCCATGTTGGGGATGTGTTTAAAGGAGATTAGAGGACCAGAGGAAATAAATTTTATGGAAGTTTCTATAAGGACAAGAGAAGGTGTGGGCAGAGAAATATTTGAAGAACAATCCACAAGAGATAGTGATTGATTTTAGGATCAGGGTGAAGAATAGAAACGTATCAAGATTCCTGGGCAACTGGATGGCTTGTAGGACCATTCACTGAGACAAGGAATACAGGAAGAGCTTGGGGATGATGGTGTGACCAGCTAAATTTTAAACATGATGCTCATGGGATGTTCAGGAGGGGATACTGAGCACACAGTTAGATAAGTTTGCTGTAGAAGTTTATCTATAAACATATGGATAAAAATTGACACATATGTCTACACATACACACACTTACACTCACTAATAGCTACATGTAACTAAATATTTATATGTTAAGGTGCAGCTTATCTTACACCTATATATAAATAAATTTATCAGTAAGAATCATTTATTTAACCTTACATGAAACTTGAGTCCCTGTTTAAGTACCAAATTTATACATATAAAAAAGAAATAACTATATATCTATCTGAAGCTTTATCTGTGTGTAAATATTTCATAGCCATAACACACACATATTGATATTCTAAAATTTAAAAATTTTACATTATATTATGAAGTGCTTGAATTCAATATCCTGCAAAACTCTTAGATTAAATACAAATATAAAGGATGAAAAGTTCATACAATAATAGGGAAGGAAAGAAGGGAGGACAACTTTATTGATAACATTGACTCAATTGGGTAACACGAGGACACCGACAGGATAAAAGCTTTAATCCCATACATCAAAACACAGTGACTTGATCTTGACCTGGAGTAAAACTGGGAAGAAAGTGCTGTGCAAATTATTTTTTTTAAAAGAAGCTGATTTTTAAAAATATATGCTGTCTTTGACAAACACATTTTCTGTACCAGGTATAGGATCAAAGTTACCATCAAGAGAAACAGTCTTGCTCTAAAACCTGTTATTTTTTGAGTATTCTACTTGTCAACAGCATGAAAAAGGAAGATTATGTTGTATCCCCATCTTGTGGCTCTAATATGTAACATTAGGCTTAAAGAGCTAACTCTCCAATTGGAAAAAAAAATTTTTTTTTTCATTGACTTAACATACAATTTATTATCCAAATCACTCACTTTTTACCGGAACTCTCACCTGGCATACACTACCACACACACACACCACATACTAACAGACTTAATTTTTGTTGATGACCTCACTTCTCTGTGTCTTTTCCAATTTTCATTGGACCAAGATTCATACTTTAACCATATTGCAATCCTATCTAATAAAAGAGTAATATGCAAATTGACCATACCTCTGCTACATCCACAAGGCATGCTCACTAGCCAATCAGGAGATGGTATGCAAATTAACCCAACCAAGATGGCTGCAGCCATGGAGAGAGCAGGAGACTTGGGTTTCCCTGGCAATGGAAGAAGCCAAGCTTTTCACTTGCCCTGGCTGGCCCAGTCCTTCGCTAAAGGCCACAAAATTTCAATTATAGAAGATAAATAAATCCCAGATACCAGGGCCACTGCTTGGGTCACCAGGGGGCGTAGCTGCCCTGAAAACTACCACAGGCCCCTCTCCCAGGCTGCCCCATGCCACAAGGGAACCTGTACCCTGATCTGGGATACCTTTCAGGGCAAAACGGAGGCACCCACCTGTGCACCAGGCCTCTATCCTATCTAATCCTATCTAATAAAATAATAATATGGAAATTGACTGTCACTCCAACACACAAGATGGCTACCCCCATGTGGTCAAAGATGACTGTCCCCATGTGGACACAAGATGGCAGCCACAAAATGGCCAGCAGGGGAGGGCAATAGGGAGGGGCCAGGTCTGCAAGGGAGGGAAGATGGGGGCAATCAAGCCTGCAGGGGAGGGCAGTTGGGAATGATCAGACCTGCAGGGGAGGGCAGTTAGGGGCAAACAGGCTGGCAGGGAAGCAGTTAGGCATCAATCAGGCTGACAAGAGAATGGTTAGGGGGTGATCAGTCTGGCAAGCAGACGTGATTAGGTGCAATCAGGAAGGCAGGCAGGTGAGCAGTTGGGAGCCAGCAGTCCTGGATTGTGAGAGGGATGTCAGACTGCCCTTTTAGGCCCAATCCTACTGGGATGAATCAGGCCTAAAAGGGCAGTCGGACATCCCTCTAGGGGTGCCAGATTGGAGAGGGTGCAGGCCGGGCTGAGGGACAAACACCCCCATGTACAAATTTCGTGCACTGGGCCTCTAGTTTGGAATACAAAATCCAAAGGCATTCCTTAAATAACTCTCATCTCCTCCACAAGTATTTTTTTTTTCATTCTCCCTCAAACTCCCTTAGAAATTTACCTCTTTTTGTTGAAAGTTTAATATTTAACCAATTAAGTTTTGAGTATTTCAAATTTTCACCTGAAAAACTGAATCTTTGACTTACATAAAATGTCTCTATGGGTAGCCATGTGCATGACTACAACTCTTTAACATTTACCAGCATCTGTGCAAATCAGAGAACCCTCAATCTCAATCTTTATCTTCCCTGAGCTTACCATTGCCAGGGTAATGGCGAAAACAAGGTGGGTATGAGGCATCATCTGGCAGACAAATCATAAAGTCTATAGTCATATATCTACCATGCTCGGCAACCAACACACTAAATAAAAATGAATGTAGCATGAACCGTTATTCTTTGAGAGAAACATCATCAATGTTGACATGCATTTCATTCATGATACCTAAGAATGTGCAGGTTATTTTGGTATCTTCTGAGATCAGCAAGGGCAGAGCTGTCTGTAGCTAATGAAACTGGAATCTGAAAGCAATAGGAGCTACATGCCTTGGGTTGTGTGGGAAGTTGGAAGGGTCAGGAATAGGGAAGGCAATATTTAATGCAATTTTGTATTTAAAGAAGAAAAAGGAAATCATGGTTCTGTCATAAAACTATGGGTGATAAAGCTCAAAGGGAAACTCTTTCTGGATGGCAGCTAGGAGTCTCTATCAGGGAGCAAAGATGCTGAGATCATCATGTTTATAAAAATGGGCCAATGATTAAAACTACCATGATACACTGATTTAAAGAAGGGGAACCCTCTGCCTAATTAATATTCCCCATTTTAAACCTCCACTAGATCAAATATGGTATATTAGAATGTGAGTTGGTACCTGGTCCAAAGAGAATAACCGGACCATAAATATGATCCTTTAATCATATTTCTAAATTTCACAAGAAATCATTTAGTGTTTACATTTTTCCTCTGTGTTATGACACATGCTATTACATTCAGTCTTACAGCTACTCTATGGGCAAAGCTCTTGTAAAAATTATTTTTTAAAATATATTCCATTATTTTTCTCCATGAAGGTAATAAATTCTTAGTAAAAACAAATACTTAGTAAAAACAAATACTTGGTCAAAACACACATTAATAAAGAGAAAAATGAACGTATTTATGGAGAGTGAATATTAGACCTGGATCGAGGATCATGGCTTGGTGGTGAAACAACATGAGCTTCACATCTGCTGGGTCCAATTTGTGGCAGCTCCAACAAAAAGCCTGTTTTCAAGTATTTGACTTCTGTGGTCATCACAGAGCCTACCACTAGGGGGCAGACAAGTCTAGTTTTGTGATTGAGCCTTCTGCAAGTGGGATTGAGGTTTCAAATCATTTTTGCAGAACTGACAAGGAAGTAAACAACAACAAGCCTTGGCAACTTATTAAATTTAAAAATAAAAACAACAACAAAGGAAAACTGACTATGTAGTTTTGCACAATTCAATTAAAAATACTATACATTTTTATGTGTGTGTATGTGAGCAAAACACCCCAGTGAAATAGTACCTAAGGGTGAAGATCCCAGGATAAGATAAGTGAGATAAAAGAGCAGGGCAGCAGGACACTACAACATGCACAAAGGCCTTCTGTCTGAAGCCAGGGTGGCTGAAGGTGGGTCTCTCAAGGGAGCGTGGCCACATGATGTAGGAGAGGTAGGCTAGGTCATGCCAATGTAGTCCAGTAGGGATAACAGTCCTTGAGACACGCAACAACAAAAAGATAGAATTTGCATAAAAATACTTTTCCACAGAGAAAAACTTCAAGTCCAGATAATTTAACTGACTTCTATCAAACACTCCTATTAAACATAATATGAAATTATGCCAACCTTACACAAACTCTTTCAGAAAATAGAAGAGGAAGGAGCACTTCCTAACTCATTTTATGAGGCTGCTAGCCCTCAGATATCAAAACCTACAGTTAAAAAAAAAAGATTTTTACAGGAAAAGAAAAATTACAGTCCAATATCCCTCAGGAACATACAAGTTAAAATCTTCAAAGAATATTAGCAAATTGAATGCAACATACAAAAAAGGAATAGTAATCTTATTTGATCTGAAATTCAATTTTAACTGCCATTCTGTATTTTTACTTGATACATCTGGTAAACCCATGTGTTCAGGATGCCTGGAGACATTCCTTAGGCTGTTGGAAAGTATGGGTTGGCTGCTCAGGAGAAATATCTGGCCTAAAAACCAAGGCAGGGCAATAACAGTAATTTTTTTTATTTTTCTAGGTAATTATTCCACAAAGTAGGCATCATCATTTAGTTTCAAACTATTCATGACCTAGGCATTAGTGTTTCTCAGGAGATATAATACAAGTTTGAATATCAATTTAAGTCAAAAGGGACACCTGTGCTCCCTTCATAGCACTGAAGGTCACACTCTAGCTCTCTTCTTATTACCAACCAATTTCATCAAAACATAGCACACACACACATGCATCCTGAAGCAAACACTGACAGCACATTATTTGTGTCAAATGAGCTTCTGAAATGACAGGACCAAGTTAGAGAAGCATGTTGGTTAATCTTAGAAAAGTTTCCCACAATGAACCCTAAAACAACACCTTTAAAACGTAAGTAGAATATATTTCCTAACTACCCTAGCAGAATTTACCAAAATAGAAGTAAAAATTTTTGAGGAGCAGATATTTTTAAAACCCAAAATAATAAAAGACATTTTGGTTTTCAAAAATGACAATATCTATTGACAATTATGATTTTATTAGAGGCCCGTTGCATGATATTCTTGCAATAGGCCTTCCTTCTCCTGGCTTCACTCCCAGCCACCCGGGAGCTGGCATATCCCTGCCCCCAGCCCACCTAGGAGCCGGCATGTATTCGCTTCTGTTTGGAGCACCACTCCTGGAGCTCCCTCTGCTACTCTCCCTCCCTCTCATAGCAGGCATCCTGACCCTCTTGGCTGCTCCGTGCCTGCATATGCAAATTAACCTGCCATCTTTGTTGGGTTAACTTGCATACTCACTCTGATTGGCTATGGGTATAGCAGAGGTACAATCAATTTACATATCTGTCTCTTATTAGGTAAGATAGTTATCCTATTACTTAATTATGGACTCATTCAAATAATTAATGATTTTATCTTCACGGTGAGAATCAGGGCAATTTTTCAGAGTACCGTAGTAGGGTATCATTTGCAGAGAAAATTGTACAAAGGTCATGGTTATTTTTTTCTTGGCTTGCTGGTTTGTTTATGCATTCCTGCTGCCTTCAGGGTGAGTCCTGTCTGGTTACCTCTGTATTCCCAGAGACAGCAGAAGTGCTCAGGGTGCCTTTGTGTGAGCCTTATTGCCATGCTTTCTGTCCCACCTGCCAAAACAAGACCTTTGGTTTCTGCAAAATCTCTTCCGACTGTTTTTAGGCCTTACGAGAAAGTGCCTTGCCTGTGCTCTGAAACAAGCAGTTCATGACAGCCCTGTAGCTCTTTCTTTGTCCTCTAGCATTTGTGCTCTGCTTGAGTCCTGTTGGCTTCCAGGAATGAACACAGCTCTGTGCAGACCTCTGAGGAGCTCCTTTTACCACAGTCCTCAGCCTTCTTCCTGGGGCTGCTGCCTCTGAGCTATCAGAGGGGCAGCAGGTTGTCTGAAATCCACTGTTCTCTGTAGAAGTGGTGTGACAGATACTCTCTCTATTTTGCTTAATTATCTTTTTTTTATACCAAAGCAATAGTGTTTCTTTATACCACTGACTTACAGAGATTTTAATAAAATACTTCTCTTGCTCTCCATCATCTCAATCTCCTATAGACACTAAATGGTCAGAGCTAAGAGGCAACAGTGACATCTGCTGGCAAAGGGAAACATTTTCATCTACAGCTAACATTTTTCTCTTTTTTTTCCAGAGTTTATGAAATTCTTTGGGGTCAAGTCAACACAATACTAAGCAATAACAGGTCTAATTGCTGTTTGGCCAGAATTATTTTATTTTAAAGTGTTGCACTGTGTATTTTCACTGCCAAGCTTGTGATATTTACTATTTGAATCTCTATATGAGATTCAGACCAAAATAGGTGAGTAAAGGAACTGCCTAGAAAACCCCACATTTCTAGGATTTAAAAAATTCAAAAATATTACTTTACCAGTTGTTTTGGTATTATGTAGAACAAGTTTTAACCTCTAGCTCTATAAAGGCAAAATAGCCCTGTCCGGGTGGCTCAGTTAATTGGAGCATTGCCCCATGCACCAAAATGTTTTGGGTTTGATCCCCAGGTGGGGCACATATGAGAGGCAACTGATTGATGTTTGTCTCTCACCTGGATGTCTCTGTCTCTCATACCCTTCAGTGAGGATTAAAAAAAAAAAAAGACAAACAACAAACCATATTATATTCAACCATAGTAAAGTAGAATTATAATTAAATAAGTGAATTCTAGACCTAAAGAGCCTAGGTTTGAACCCCAACTCTGCCAATTAACAGCTATAACCCTGGGTAAGTAACTGAATGTCTTTGTGTGCACAACTCAATTTTCTTATCTATGAAGTTGGAATGAACATAATAATACCTACTTCATAGGATTGTCATGAGTATTAAATGAGTGAATATGTACAAGTGTTTAGCATAGTTCCTGAAATATGGTGATCACTCTATGAATTTTAAGTATTATTATTCTTTTTTAAATAATGTTATGAAATGTTTCATATTAATTCTTAATTATTATCTGGAGAAGGTGGGGAGGGAAATAAATAAAGTATTTCAGAAATGCCAGCTATCTACACTAATAAAGGAGAAAGATGCAAATCTTTCACAATACCCACCAGCCAATCAGAAGTGAGCATGCAAATTAACCTGACAAAAATGGTAGGTTAATTTGCATACACAGGCACAAAGCAGCCTAAGGCAGGGCAGCTGCTTATGCCCATGCCAGCACTAAGTGGTCTGCATCCCAGGGACAGGCATCCTTGGGAGTCAGGATGCTCTTAGCCTGTAGGCCTCCACGTAGGCCTGGAGTGGCCAGGGTCCCAAAATGCCCCCGGCCACTCCTGGCCTATGCATGCAGGCGCTGAGCAGCTGGGGGGCAGGGCAGGAACATCCCTGGGACCCAGATGCTTCGAGCCAGCTTGCACCTGCAAGTGGCCCAGGGTGGGGCAGGAATGTCCCCTGCAACAAGTGAGCAGACAGCAGGGCCCTGCTTGCCCCTGGCCATGGCAGCAAGGAGCAAGCAGCCCCCCTTAGTGAGCAAGCAGACTGCAGGGCCTGTGGTGTCATCAAGCAGGCAGTTCCACAGAGAGCAGAGAACCATGGGGAGTAGACTTAAGCCATCAGTAGGACACTCCCTTCTGCCCCCCTGGGGCAAAAAAAATTTCATGCACTGGGCCCCTAGTTTCATCATAATCAACATGAAAGCAAAATGAACTGCCAGGCAATCCTAAACTTTACAAACCTTGCAAATATAAAATTAGAAATTTGTTGCTTTTTAAAAATTTTAACAAGTTATTTTATTTTCTCTAGCCATTGAATATACTAAAAAATAAATCAAGAGGGAAAAAAAATAGAAAGACTTTTTTTTGCAATAAGATAGAGTTCTCTTTCATTGAGAATTCCAAATGAATGGTTGTTTTTATCTTAAAAATAGCTTTAGCCTGGCCAATGTGGCTCAGTTGTTGAATGTCGACCCATGAAACAGGAGGTCACGATTTGATTCCCCATCAGGACACCTGCCCAGGTTTCAGGCTCGATCCCCAGTAGGGGGCGTGCAGTAAGCAACTGATCAATGATACTCATCATTGATTTTTTTTTTTTCTCTCTCTCTCCCTCTTTCTTTCTCTCTCTGAAATACATAAAAAACATATTTTTAAAGAAATAGCTTTATATTTTAAGTACTATTAACAGATATTAAATTCCAAATTAAATAACATATTACATTAAATATTAGCAGGGCCTCAAGACCAGCATATTACATGGCATCATTTGAATCAGATTAATTTAAAAAAAATATCTTATACAAAAATGTTTCTTGATTAAGAATATTCTCTCTCTTATATTAGGAGGCAATGTCCCCATTCCACCCTCCAAAAAAAATAACATCAATAACCACCACAACACTAAGAGTTGCTCTGCAGTTGGTACAGATTCAGCCTGCGCCATTTTGTTGTTTTAAAATGAAAGCGTGCATATCCCTAGGATTAGAATTATATTATAGGTATACGGTCTCTTAGGGAAATAGAGGACGTGTTGTTGTTGTTTTTAGAACACTTATTTTTATTTTTATTTTATCAACAACAGGAGGATTTTTGTTTTCTTATGCAACATATGCACTAGTGAAATTAGCAGAATTCCACAACTTCAAGTGTCTAATAGAGTAAATCAGGTCAATTTCAGAATTACATTAAAAAAACAAACTAGTATAAAAGGGCAAAAACTAATGAAAGTTTGTGCTAAAGTGTCTTTAAAATTGTTTCCAAAAGGTAAAAGAGAGGCAGCTTAAGAAAACAATATTTGCTCCATCAAAAAAACTCAAACAACATCTTTTAAAGTTTTCCACTAATATACTTGAACAATTAACTGATAAACTGAGATTAATCCAATTTTTACAATATTTGGATGAAAGCATGGAAATGAAGTACTTAATGTTCTACTGTATTTTGCTTTAAATACGAAACCATTTGATCCATTTGTATATGCTTTCATGGTAAAATGTAGAAATGTGTGGGGCTTTTTTTTTTCTTTTTTAAATTAAACTCACATTCACATAGGAAAATGGAAAGAGCTATCTACATGACAGCAAACCCTGCATCCAGCACTCCAGCAGCTGCTTCTTCATCCAAGATACTTCTCTTGGTATTTTCAGTATATTCAATGGCCAATAAATATAGAACAATTTGCAAAATTCTTTAAAAAGCAAACAAAAATATTCCTGGAAGAGATGCTCCACTCAGCACAGGCTGTCAATTTGCTTGCACATTCAGGCCAGCCAGGAAGATACAAGAGTGATGAGTCTGATAGACTATGATGATGCAAAAGGTGACTCAAAAAAGAAAAAACTAAAAATATAACAAACATTCAAAGTTGAATACATTGAATACATTACACATGTAATATCTAATGCATACATGATATATAAACACACATACAGGGTGTGGGCAAAAAACAGTTTATTCTTGTATTGTTTTCCATATAAACAGCTGTTAATTTGCTTTTGCCCACTCCTGTATATAGAGTATTTTACATATATGTGTGTATATAAATGTACATACATGTATATCACAACTAAATCACCACAACCTTGAAAACCTAGATAAAAAATTAGATTTCTAGCCCTGGCCAGGTGGCTCAGTTGGTTGGAACATTGTCCCATACACCAAAAGATTTCAGGTTCGATTTCCAGTCAGAGCATATATATAGGTTATGGGTTTGATCCCCAATCAAGGTGCATACAGTAGGCAACTAATGGATGTTTCTTTTACACATCCATTTTTTCTCTCTCTCTCTGTCTCTCTCTCTTTTCTTCTTTCTCTCTCTCTCTCTCCCCTACTGCCTCTAAAATCAATAAACATATCCTTGGGTGAGGATTAAAAAAATAAAATAAATTTATAGCAAAAATGATTTTTTTTAAAAATTGGCATAAGAAATAGAAAATGCAAATGGACAAAAAAACATTTTAAATATTGACATTGTAGTAATCAAAGCACAAGGCCAAACATTTGTGCAGATGCACCCCAGCAAGCTGTCACAGATCAGACCGTCTTCACTGTTATCTAAAATAGAAGTCAGGTTGTAGGGTTTTGTTTGTTTTTACTTTTTCCATTCAACTGTCTTTGAATCTCTACTCATAATAACAAACTATAAATTTTAACTCATAAAAGGATTATCCCCATTTTCTCTATAACTGGTCTTTTAAAGTTTAACTGATACATTCAGATCTGAGGGTCTGGAGGGATTCTTTTTCCCAGCCTTACAAAAGGTTCAGCATTCTGAAGAGAGGGATGCACATAGATGATTGAGAAGGAGTCCGTGGAAAGGAGTCCGTGGATGAAAGATAGTTTTGAAAGGCATTGGGGGTCAGAGGAGCTTCCAGCTGAAGGAACTAGAAGACTCTCCTTCTTGACCAAGGACCTGTGCTTTTATTAAACACAATTTGTCCCAAGGCAGGGTGGAAATATACACTGTAAAGGATAAGGTATCAAAGGGTACAGAAATGTCAGTTTCGGTAATAGCCTACAGCTATTCAGGTGGTTGGCCAACAGGAGGCAATAAAATGCCCTGAGCTGTCTGGCAGTTAAAATACCATCCAGGTTTGGGGGAGATGCTTTGTAGCCATTTCCAACAGGTAAACTACATGTGACTCAACCCTATTGAGCTCCCCAAGCTTCACCAACCTTTTGGTAAAACTCTTGTAATTATTACATGCTGGAATTGGTTCTTGGCAAGGGTTTGACAGCAGTCTGGGCTTATGTACTCTTAATTCAGACCTGGTCCATCTGAAGGAATTAAGTCCTTGGCCACACCCTGAGTTAGAGCTGCTGACCAACCCAATCAAAGCCAAGAAATGAGACCACAACTTTCTGCCTCTATTAGTTTTTATTCAGGCACATTATTGATCTGCAGACCAACATGCGAACAAGGTCCTTAGCTGGAATGTCTTATGGAATCCTAATTATTTCAATAACCTGCACTTATGTATTGTACCAGTTCATCCTAATTTTCACAATTGTCCAGCAGCAAGAATCACCAGCCAACCTTGGAACTGTGGGCCAAGTTCTTGCTAATTCATAGATGGTTCAATATACCCAATTTTCAAATGGTCTTTGATATAAAACACATTGACTAAACCTACTTACAGCTGTGGCCCCAGAAAATGTGTGCTAATATTGTCTAAATCAGACAATTTTCTTATTATAGATTGTCCTTGACCCTAATTCACCTAGATATGTAGAATAATGCTATGCTATTTATTACTTTCCATTGAAATGCCTTTGAAGTTAAAAAATGAGTTTATTTCTTTATTTCACAATTGTTTATATGGCCAACTGTAGACTAGACATATTTCAAGTTTCCAGGAGAAAACAAAGATAAACAAGGTCCTTGTTCTTATGGAATTTGCAGTCTAATAGAAGAAGACAGACAAGTAAAAAAATAACACAGTTTCATATCATAAATAAATGGAAGTAAAGAAACAGAGTTATGAGAGAGTGATTTAATGGAACTGAGAGGAGGCTAAATTGAGTGATTTGGGAAGACTTCTTGGAGGAGGTGGAATTTGAACCAAAATTGAATGTTGTGAATAATTGGGGTCATGGGAAGGTAAGGCAAAAAATCAAGAAGCCTAGAGCCCTAAATTTGAAATGAACTTGTTGTGTTTCAGAAACAGCAACAAGGCCACAGTACCTGGAAACGTGATGAAGAAAATAATTATAGGGAAAGAATAAAGAAAGTAGATGAAAATCCAGTCACATAAGGCCTTGTGAACCAACGTAAGGAGTTATGTGAAAGACTGAGAGTCTACTTTGCGTTTTCATGCTAATTGACTTCAAAGCAATTTATTATTTATATATATAAAACCCTAAGTGACCAGTCGACCGTTTGACTGGTCACTATGATGCACACTGACCACCAGGGGGCAGACATTTAATGCAGGAGCTGCCTCCTGCTGGTCAGTGCACTCCCACAGCAAGAGTGCCACTCAATGAGCTTATTGAGTAGGGGCAACAGTAGGTGCAGCAGGGCCCACCTGCCTAGGATGAGTGGGAGCAGCACCCCTGCCTGGGCTCGGCTCCTCCCTGGCTGCCTGCCGCTTCAAGCACTACTTCATCCTTCAGGGGATATTGGACTGCCAGGGATCATGAAACCAGCAGTTTGACATACCCCAAGGGGTCCCAGATTGCAAGAGGCTGCAGGCCAGGCTGAGGGACCCAACCAGTGCACGAATCCATGCACTGGGCCTTTAGTTACTTATAAATTATTACAAAAAAGAAATTCATCTTAGATTTATTCCTAGGTTTAAGAGAATCTGTATAGGTCTTTTACATTTGTTAGTTTCGTTCCAGCTAGATGAGAGATGTCAGAGTTAAATAATTGTCACAAGGGTAAAATTCAATTTCCCATGACAAACTTCGTTAACAACTTAGTTGAACAAATGTGAGTGTTTTTTAAAACAAAACAGTCTTACATATGATAACTGATAATAGATATTTTTAGTCTCAAGGATACATGTCAACAGTCCTGGAAATTTTAAGAGTCTCTTCAAGTTTACAGGAAAACTCTTTGACCTCCATAGAAAATAGACAAATGGAAGCTCACCTATGTAGACAAAAGAATAAGCAGAGATTTCACTTGAATTTGTGTGATTTATGTGCATGCAAACTACAACAAGTAATGTTGTAATGCTAGTTGGGCAGTTTAACACTCTCATCAGCAATCTTCCATTCTTTCAAGTTTTTATTTATTTATTATTATTAAAAACTGAAAGAAGACCTAGAGTTTTGAACTTTAGTTACATCTTCTGAAAAAATAAATATGAGGTTATAATTTACTCTTTATACAGAAATTCTATTTTTTCTAAGTTAGCAGAAAGCCATTGGAGGTTTTGAAGTAGAGAGAAATATGATGTAATTTATATTTTTAAAAGAACTCTGGAGCTAATGTCTGTAAAATGGGCATGGGTGATCTCAGAGTGAAAACAAAATGACTAAAAGGTTATGGCAGCTCATTTGGTGTCAGATGAATGAGTTGTAATAGGAGTATGTGAAGAAGTGGTAATAAGTGATCAGATTTGGTAAATATTTTTGAGTTGACTTCAATAAGACTTCCCGGTGGATTGGATGAGGACCAGGGAGAGGTAGTTAGAAAGAGTGGATTCGTGAATGACTCTAGGTTTGGAGTTTGAGCCAGTGGATGAATGCTGGTATGGTTATATGAACAGAGAAGATTTTGCAGGTGTGGATCAGAACCAGAATTTCTGTTAGGTATCTAAAATGCAAAGCAGCCAATGAGACAGCCACAGGGAGATACGACTAATAGGGGGTTTATTATAAGTGTTTGGTAATTAGAAGGATTCCTGGGCACATACAAATTTATTCCTTGAGCCTGAATGAGATTTTCTAGGAAGAGAGAGAGTATAGGTAAAAAAGAAAGGATGAGTGAAGATTCAATCCTGCTGCACTGTAGCATTTACAGAACAGAATGGCAGAAAGATCCAGCAAAGTTGCAAACAAGGAGAAGCCAATGAGGGTGAAGGAATACCAGCAAAGCACAACATTGCAGGAGACAAGTGAACAAACTATAAAAAATGCATGAGCCTGATAGAGAGCCCCTGGACATGCGAATCTATGTTTACTAATCAGGACAGGTTCTGGGAGCTGCAGGAACAAATGGTCCAACAACCATTCATTTCTCACTCAAGGTACATGTGCAGCTCAGGTGGCTGGTGCTCTGTTCGTAGCAGTCAGTCTGCACATGGGCAGGTGGAAGTTCTGTTTTGATTTATGCTTCCATGGTTGACAGGGCAGGGAAAAAGCTACATCATGGTCATATAGTGGCTCTTAAAATTCTTGAAAATAACACAAACTACTTCCTTTCACATTTTATTGAGCAAAGGAATTCAAGGTCACAGCTAACATCGAAAGAGGTAAACCAGGGCAATGTCATCGTGCTGCCAGACAGAGATGAAAAGGGGGTACCTGCACACAGTGAATGTCTGGTGATAAATGGAAGGAAGTGGGATAACCGTGGTGCTGTTCATTACCTGTAGGTATTTAGAGACCAGAACAGATTTTAAAGAAAGTTCTACGATTTATTTGCCTTTTCCCTGCCTTTAAACTAGCTAGGAAGGGTGACTTTCATTCATGTCATTTCACAATTTCAGTAGGAATTTGAGGATTGGTTATAAGTTCCAGTGTTTTCTCCTAAGAGGGAGCTCAGATCCTTAACCATAACACCACACCTTCAGTGTGAGTTCTCTTACCACCCAGGAGTCAAGCCAGTCAGAAGATGGAGACTTTAACAGATAACTTAATAGAAAGAACTGTTGGGTAAGTAAAAAGTGATGAACTATAGGAAGAGTAAAAGAGGACTTTGAGATTTAACAGGAGCAGCAACTGTAGGTGGTAGTTACCAATATGAACAAGGAAGGAATTGGGAAACTTGGAGGGGTGCCCTGCAGGGCTGACTCAAACTTCAGAGTTGAAGGGGTGGTGGGTGACAGAGCAATGCCTACCCCTGAGAAAAGAAAGTCACTGGAGACGACCTGCTTTGGACCCTGAGAGCCACAGCCCCTGTGTGAACTCTGCAGAGACCATCACTTACCTGAGGAGTGAATCTCATAGGAACACAAAAACAAAAACAAAAACAAAAACCAAAAAAGGAAAAGAATAGTTCTGTGGTGGGTTGATTAGTATCCTCCCAAAAAGATTTATTGAAATCCTTGTTACTTCTGACCATGACCTTTTTGGAAAGTGGTATTGTTTTTGTTTGCAGATGTAATTAAAATGTAAGATTAGATGAAGTCATACCGGTATGTGATCCTTAATCCCATGTGATTGTCATCCTTACAAGAAAGGGAGGAGAGACACAAAAGAGAACACCAGGTGAAGGTACAGACACATAAAAGGAAAAGGTACAGACACATAAAAGGAAAAGGTGAAGGTACAGACACATAAAAGGAAAAGGACAATGTGTGTGATTGGGGTGGTGCATCTACAAGCCAAAAAACATCAAGGTTTGCCAGAAGCTAAAGAGAGGCATGGGGCAGAGTCTTCCTTAGAAGCTACAGAAGGAACCAGTATTGCTCACACCTGGATTTCAGAATTCTAGGCTCTGAGAGACTATATTCTGTTGTGTTAAGCCTCCCAGTCCATGGTCCTTTGTTATGACAGTCCTAGAAAATGGACACAAGTCCCTTCTTCTTCCAACCTTGTCGCCTTCCACCAGGACTGCCTGTTTGCAAGCAAAGGAGAAAGAGGTTTGTGGAGTGCCCAGTTCACAAAGCAGGATGGAGAAGGGTGAGCTTGGAGCTGAGAGCACTGAAATCATAAATATACAGGCTGGGAGACAGCAGACAGGTCGAAATATTCAACGATGCTCAGTTTCCCCACATAGGGAGAGAAATACTGTGGGGCCTCCCCAGGGGGGTTGTGAGAATAAATGTGAAGTTGGCTTAGTTTAGCATGTGCAATAAGAAAGCCCTTCATAAGATTCCTCTTCATATACTTACTATTTTTAGCATGAGTTGAAACCAAAAGAAGTTATGGATTTCCCAAGAGAATTTGTGGCACCCCCACCTTTCTTTTAGGGAAAACAAAGGAGTGATAAAATTTCAACTTTCATGACAATTTAGAGCCCCTGATTCTGGAGATGGGCGAGTGCACATTTGTAATCCCTGAAAATTCATCCAACAAAAGAGGTACATTTGAAATAACTCCTCAAACTTTCTAGATTAATGTAAATCCTTAATCCTTTTAGCATCTTTACTGACATTTTGACTGACTTGAGAAGAAAAACAGAACAATTTTTCAAACAAGGAATGTTATATAACAAACATCAGCAATGCCAACCTCAAAAACACTGGGCTGCGTTAGTTCTTCCAGAGAGTGCCTTCTGCTGCCTCAAACCTGTCTGGGTTGGATATTTTTTATTGCTCCCTGAACACATGGCACATTTCCCACAAAGTTAAGGGTCATTGATGAATCCATTTCACTCTCTTCCATTTGTGTGAATGAGCTAACGTTTAAAGTAACAAAGGAACAGTGAAAACACATTAGGGCTCATTCTCAAAGACAGTGAGAGCAAACTTGCTCAAGGAAACAACTTTAAAGAGGCCACAGAAATACAGATTTATCTGTTTGCCTTAAGCATGATCATGCTCAGAATGCACATGAGTTGACCGCAAGGAGAGAGGCAGCATGAAAATCTGGGGTCTGAGAATGTGCTATATGTATACCATATTTTCCGGCGTATAAGACGACCGCCGTAATTTTTAGTTAAAATATAGGTTTAGGCCTATATTCGCTGTATAAGACTACCTCCCACTTCCGAGGCAACACCAGTTCTTTTTTTAATAGACCGCCTCTCTGACTCTGGCCAATCTGAGCAGGCTTTTTACTAGAACACAGTGTAGCCTAAACCTATGTTTTAACTGTAAAAAAAAAAAATAAATAAAAATAAAAAATAATTAGGGGGTCGTCTTATACCCCGGAAAATACGGTATGTATATATGTATATCACAAGGCAATAGTTGGGTTCTGATGATGCCTCACTCAATAATCAGGTAACTTGGTCCTTAAAGGTACCCACCCCCTAAAATAACATCTTGTTGAATGGCTACTATGCACAGGCCTTGTCTTAGGCATAGGGAAAATATTGATAGTGGTGAACAAAGACAGCCTTCTTATAGCTTAGTGGGAAAGATACAGCCAGACCACAAATACAAGTGTGATGATCTGCTGCATCTCACTGTGAACTTCCAAAAGCACTGGCCTTAGGTCATCCTGGAGCCGCTGTGGTTCCTCGTTGGATCCTTAAAGGCCCGTGTTAGTCCAAGCTTGTTCTTGTGGAGCATGACTGTCTAAAACGCAGCTTGCGTCATATGGCTGCTCACCGCAGGGTGTCTGACATCTGCTGGCTGCCTGCGGCTCTTTGGGCATATCCCCGGCTGAATGTCAAATGTCCACTTGCTCATAGCTCTTAGAAAGTCACCTAAGAAAGTGCTCTGAAATTGTCTGATTTCAGGTCACCCCTCTGCGATGCTTGGTTCTGAGGGCGCACTCTGCCCAGGCCAAGATGGCTAAGGGATCTCTAAAATGTCTAATGGTGAATGTCTAGCCATAAGCGGTTACCACAGTTCTGAGTCCAACTGCACAAGATTGGTGTCCAATAAAGTGTGCCAGAAACCTGATTGAACAGACCGATCCTCAACACTTTAAACACTCATGGAGGAGGGGGGGAAGCCATTTAAGGAAAAAAAAAATACCCCGTTTTCTGATATCAAGGGGAGATCTGTGGAATTTAGCATTAGTAGCCCAAACCCTTAGCACATGTCCTCTATGTTTTGGTGGCAGTGTTGGGAGATAGAGCTGAAATGAACCCAAGATAGTTATTAACAGAGTCAGAAGTGGGAACAGTCATGCCAGAATTCCATTATTTTCGGAAGGAGGCACCAAAAGATATAAGTGAAGTTTCAGGCACCAGAATTCTCTCAAGCACTTGACAAAGGATAGGGGATGACTCATACGTTTGTCCTATTCTGCTCCAGAACAGCCTCTTCTTCTTTCTTTTAATTGTGCTGCCTTCTGGAGTTT